TCTAGTTCTTTCATAGCCACCCTCCCCATTCTTAGTCTTCTTCTGATTTCCTGACTGCAGTCCCCATTTCTATCAATGTTTGATGGGGATTCTTTTACTATTTCTATTTCTTCATTGTCTACATTGAACTTGTGAAGGTCTTTGGTGGTCATTATTTTTGTTTTCTTTATGTTCAACATTAAGCCTGCCTTTGCACTTTCTTCTTGGATCTTCCTTAGTAGGTGTTCCATGGGCGGTGGAGGGGAGGGATCAGTTATTTTTCAGAACACAATTGGAATTTACCATATATTTTCCAATTTTGTTGAAATCAGCTCATGCAGCTAAAGTAAAGGGTAAAAATTCTAATGTGGGGGTGCACCCTAAAATGAACATCCAGTATGGGCTTTGTTGTTGTTAACTGCCTCTGAGTTGACTTCGATTCATGGCAGCCCCGTGAATGAGATACTTCCAAGACCTCCAGTCCTCAGCTGCTCTGCTCAGGTCCTGAAGGCTCATGGCTATGGCCTTCTTGACCGAGTCTATACATCTGGCATGCCGATTTCCCCCTCCCAAAATGGAAATCTGCAAATATTCAAGCCCCATAGGCTTGAATGGCTGCATACTCTGGTGCGCACTCCATTTTAACCCTCCCTGTTTACCGGTCTGCGAAGGACGGAAACCACAGACCCGAAGTCCACAAAAATGGAGGGATGAGTGTATTTTGACACTCTAGAGGGGTCAGGGAGTGGAATATTGGTCCCTGGCCCCCATGGAATTGCCGACCCTGGATAAATAGTATATAAAGCATTTATTGTTTTTTTTTAATTTGATATCATATATTTCACCTGTGCTTGGGATTCAAGACAGAATTTAAAGGCTGGAATCGTTTTGGGTGCCCTGTGCTAGTAGAGGCATCTTTTTTGAGATCCTGCAGAAGGAAGGCAGACAAAAATCTGCTAGCTCTGAGCTTCTTGTTTCTCCAATGCCTTAATTTCTTAATGTGCCCACAGCCTTTTCCCTCCATCTTCACCCATGCTGCAAACATCTCATCCATCCTGGGTCCATGTCCACTCTCAGGGGCGCCCAGCGCACCTTTTTTCGAAGCTAGGAGTTTTCCAGCTTAAGGAAATGGCTGCTGGAGTGCCCTTGTGAGCGGGGATGGACCCAGGATGGATCCAGGCAGCAGATTCGGTGGCTAAATCCTTCTGATAACATCAGAATGCTACCCGTTTTAAATTTTAAGCTGGCTCAGATAAGCCAGTTTTATAATCTTTATAATAAAGTCCTCAGTTATAGAATCATAAAATTAGAAGGGGCTGCAAGAATCATCTTGTCCAACTCCCCTGCCATGGAGGAATAAAGCACTTCCAAATAGATGGCCATCCAATCTTTGCTTAAAGACTTCCAAAGAAGGAAAGTCTGGTATCTTCCAAGGGCCTGTACACATGATCCAAAAGGCCCTTGTTCCCCTCAGCCTGACATCATCCTGTCTGGGAGATGTAGACCATTATCCCCAGGCCAGGATCAGCCAGTCTGGATGCCAATCCAACAGTCCTGGCCTAATCCTGGCCCAAAGGTGCCTTAATCCAGTCCAAAAAGACCAGCTGTTTGCAACGTAGTTTACAAGAAACTCTGCAGTGACTGCTGGCACACCGAACAGCCCTACATGCCTCTTACCTGCCACTGTCATCATGTCTATTCTGAAGGTCCCTGCCTTGCCCCTTGACATTGTAATGGGGTACCTGGCCACATGGGTGTAACCAGGCACCCCATTTCTGCCCTTATGGGCTGCATTAGGGCAGGGGCCTTTGAGACAGAAGCAACAGCGGTGGCAGGTAAGGGGTGCACAACAACAGTAGCTCCATGGAGCAGTGGCAAGCATGCAGGTAAACACCTGCCCACTGCTGTGCCAGCCCAGGGAATGACCTAGGTCAGAACCAGGAGCAGGATACTATAGCCTTGCCTTGTGGTATCCATCTACTTAGGCCCCTAGGCAGCCTATTCCACTGTCGAATAGCTCTTACAGTCAAGAATGTTGTAGGTGAAATTTCTTTTCTTGCCATTTGAATTCATCAGTTCAGGTTTTAGTCTCTGAAAACAAGCCTGCTACATCTTCCACATGATATCCCTTCAGGTATTTTAAATACGGCAATCATATCATCTCTAAGGAGTTTATCACACCGGGGAAATCCCATGCAGAAACGGGATTTAAAAGGTGGGAGAAACCCGCAGAAGCGGGCAGATTTTCACACATATTGCTGTTAAAATGGGGTTAACCCGAACGGAAAGTATTCAAAAACTGCTTTCTTTTTACTTTCGGGATTTTCCAAAGTAAAAAGAAGCAGTTTCTGACTACTTTCCATTCGGGTTAACCCCATTTTAATGGCGATGTCGTCTGAAAATCTGCTCGCTTTTGTGCATTTTTTTCAATTTAAAACCCTGTTTCTGCATGGGATTTCCTCTGCGTGATAAACTCCTAAGTCTTCTCTCCTCTAAGCTAACACACACAGTTCCCTAATTTGTTCCTCGTAGGGCTTGATTTCCAGACCTTTTACCATCTTTGTCAACCTCCTCAGCTGCTTAACACAGTGATGTTATTAAAAGTGCAATTTGGGATCAAAAGAATCCCCATTCCTTTTTAATTCACATGGCACCATTGGATGACCATCGATTTTTTCAAAATAGCTTTAAAACCAATGCAGATGCTGATAAGACTCACAAGGAACAGTTTTCTTTTATTATGAATATTTTCTATGGAACTTTTCAATGTTTGTGTGGATGTGTTTTTGTATACCCCCTCCCCCCCACATGTCCCATACATGAACCCAGAAAATTATTACTTCTCTTCCCTGCCCCATTTCACGGATAGAAATCGTGAGGCTGAAAATAGGGACTTTTCCAATGTGTCTGTGATGGTATAGGAGAGGAACCGCACTTTTTCAGAACAAGCAATAGCATCCCTTTCACTGTACTGCTTTGATTTTAAGGTTGTGTACAGTTTGATCCCATGGATTTTATTTTTATTTTGTCTCACAACTTGTTCTGATGCAGGCTGTTCCATAAAATGAAATCCCCTGCTGCTCAAATGGAGTGTAGCTCTCTTGCTACAGCAGCACAACCTGGGTGTCAGGAAAAAGAACAAATCTGTCAGCTGTTTCTGTTGAAATTAATGGACTGATGCACAACAGGGAAGATTGGGGTTAACATTAGCTGTGAAGTAAAGCAGTGCTTCCAGAAGAAGTGTCCAAAAATACATTCTGGTACTAAATGTATGTGTGAAATCCACAGGATTCCTTTCTGCTGTGCAGTATTTGTTTTTGCCAGAGTTTGTAAGTTCTACATAAGTATATTTAGAATACAAGTCTTGCTGGGTTTTTTTAAATAAAAGAGGGACTTTGACGAGAGAAAACAACTTATGGAATAGAAATGATAAATAAATGTAGAGGAGGCCTTTTCAACAAATTTTCATTTCAAAATCCAAAATTGCATTTTCAAAAAGTACATTATTTACTGTTTTCGCATTCTCAAAAAGCATTTTTTTAATTACCAGATGGGAGACTTGTGATTTCATACACATCTGGGAGCTCCAAGCATAGAGGTTATTGGCCAGAAAAAGTTGTGGTGAAAGTGCAGTTTTATTTTGGGTGTGATGGTAAATGCATACATTCTTGGAAAACTTGCTGAGTGCTCATAGCACTTCATGCATGTCATCCCAGTTAACAATAAAGCACCAAGGGAGTCTTCAACTAGGATCGCCTCCCTTGACCTGACCCACTCCAGATGTGCTGGCATCCAGCTCCCATCATCTGCAGTCAGCATGGTCAGTTACCCTGCAGGATATAGATAGTGGGAGATTTGGGCTGCATCTACACTGCAGAATTAACACAGTTTGGCGCTACTTTAACTGCCATGGCTCAATGTTATGGAATTCTGGGATTTGTAGTTTTACAAGATATTTAGCCTTCTCTGTTAGGGAGCTCTGGTGACACAACAAACTACAAATCCCAGGATTCCACAGGTGGAGCCATGG